TCTCAATGCACCACCGTTCAAGACACCTGCAACTGATTAAAGTTTCGCAGTCTATAATCACTGATATTGCCAACCTCAGACATTCCTTGTAGCTGAGAGACTGCGGGACATTTAGGGATTAATTAAGCTTTGAATATTCAAACTGTGTTACACATACCCATATCCCTGTTCCCACATTTAAATTTACGTCAGACTTGCCTAGAACCATGGCAACTCAAGAAATCCTTTTTTGATCACTTACCATTTCTTTCCGTTATTGTATTCATTCGAATATTTTCAAACGTGGATGCAAATATCGACAATTCTAGACTATCTGGATTATTCAGATAAATACTACCTATAAATTTAAGATCATATAAGATGTGGACACTGGAAGTGGATTCGGTAGTATAACATGAAGCCAACAAATTAAGAACCAGTAATAATGATCACATTAACGTAATACTACAAAACAACCAAGCAGGAAATTTACGTTTTGCTGGACAACGCAAAGCATTATCACTCCAGCACTAGGAATCTTTTGGTCAGACCATAAGGTTTCATGACTTGGTCTCACTTTATACATGGTTTAATAAACGACTTGGCATGCGCTGAATCAACCCAGTTTACATTCATTTTAACAGAAATTCCACATTAAGCAAAAATGCTAAAAGTGTCAAGCGTGGGAAAGCGCCAGTGAACCAGTTAGGAAACCTATAACTAGATTTGTCGATAGTAACTTAACACCTAGAATTCATCATGAGAAAGTATCGAGAATCAGTCAGTCAGCTATAAAATAGGACCAGGCACATATATGCATCGGTCCAAGTTTCCATGCCACAGTAGCACAAGCAAGATGAACACCGGATTCATAAAAGTAGTTAATTCAGAGGTGGTAATATATAAAAGATTTCATATAACAATATAGTACAGGAAGAAAGAATTAGTTCGTAGAAAGAAAGATATAAATTGATTTTAACCTCATAGTTGAAAGAAAGGTAAAGAGTGTACGCACCGACGCCATTGTGATCGATTCTGAGCCATGTCACCGAGAGTCTCCAACCATCGGTTACGATAGTCACGTGGACCCCAACCAAGTAGTCTGCATCTACCAACATGGCTCAGAATAGAGGTTAGTGTCTTCAACCACTGATGCCACGTTTTGGTTTGGCCACCCCTAATTCTCTTCCAACCATCTCTAACACCCGTTAGCATTGCACGACGTGGTAATCGGTGTTCGGGCATACGTAACACGTGGCCCAACCATCTCAGTCTATGAAGATCCACAACCTCATCAACTGATTTACCATCATTCCCTAATACCCTGCGTCTAACCTCACTATTGCTTACCCGGTGATCCCAGCAGACGCCAGCAATATTTCTAAGGCATTTGTGGTCAAATATTAGTAGCTTACGGATGTCTTCTACTCTTAAAGGCCATGTTTCGTTGCCGTAAATTAAAACAGAATGGACTGCCGCGCAGTATACTCGTCCTTTTATTGATAGACGGATACCTCGCCTTCGTCATAGGTGACATAAGTTGGCAAAAGCCAAGCGAGCTCTTCGAATCCGTGCTGAGATTTCGTCAGACACCAACCCATTAGGGCTGATCAGACTTCCAAGATAAGTGAAGTTGTCAACGCGTTTGACTACTTCACTCCCTATCCTTAGTTCAGGTGTTGACGCAGACCAGTCCTGAAGCAACAACTTGCATTTAGAGGGGGAGAGAAGCGCATTCCAAACATTCTGGCATTGTTGCTTAGTGCTACCAGAAGACTCTGCATTTTGTCAGCGTCTTCACCAAACAGGACTATATCATCTGCGTATTCTAAGTCGATAAGTGGACCTCCTGAAAGGAGATCAATACCCGAGAATTCAGTCGACGAGAATGTCATTTCCATCAATATGTCTATGATGAAGTTAAAAAAAATGGAGAAAGTTGAGAGCCTTGACGGACACCACTTGAGCTTGCAAAAGCAGATGAGAGTTCGCCATAAGCTCTGACTCGACTGGTAGTGTTCGAGTAAAGAGCCTTTACAAGGTTTATGTACTTCTGAGGTACGCCTTTCAATGACAGGGTATCACAGAAACTCTCAGTCTACAGAGTCAAATGCTGTTTTTAATTCAAGAAAAACCATCGTTGTCGGACGTCGACAAGCATGCTTGTGTTCTAAAACCTGACGAATGGTGAATATGTGGTCGATGCAGCCACGACCAGGTCTGAAACCAGCTTGATTTTTTCGTGTTTGCAGTACACGAGTCTTAGTTAGGCGTCTGATAATTATCGAAGCTAGTATTGTAGATACTATATTAGTTAAACTAATCCCTCTATGGTTGTCACAAGATGATTTTGACCCTTTCTTATATGTTGGGACGATAAGTGATTGTGACCAGTCAGATGGGATTACGTCTAACTCCCAGATTCCAGCTAAAATATTAGTCAACCTAATCGCTAAAACTGGACCATCATCCTTAAAAACCTCCGGCGCCAATCCATCTAGACCAGCTGCCCTTCCTCGTTTCAGATTAACTATAGGCTTTTGAACTTCTGCTAGAGTTGGAGGACCTACTTCAATGTTCCATTCACACTGTCTGCGAATGGAGGGTCGCTGAACTGTTCCCTAAAATGTTCCGCCCATCGTTCTAAACGTCTGGACTGGTAGCAGATGAGAGTGTCGTCTTTTTCTGAAACAGTCTGACTTACACTTGACTTATTAGTTCCAGTTTCTTTTATTAGTCTGTAAAGCTGTCTTGTGTTCCCTATAGCCGCCGCCTTTTCCATCTCTTTTGCTTTCGTTGCCCACCACTGCTCACGGTCGTTCCTTAGACTTTTGCTTAACCTAGATCTGATTTCTTTACGCTCTTCATCGTGTTCTGAACCTGATGGGATGAGTTTACGAGAATCCATCAGTGTGATAGACCTTGAAGAAATCCATTGGTTCTTTGAAACCCTGTGGTTTAAATCACCGATAGATGTCACTGCTGTTTCCACAGCAGTTTGTATAGCTTTCCAAGCAACATCTGGGTCAGCCTCGTCTCCAGAACTACCTAAGTGTGACCTCAGTTGTTCCTGGAACCTACTTTGGTTTTCTTGTTACTCAACTCAGTTCTAATTGGTCTTTTTAATGTGGCTTTTTTGCGTCCAGTGAGGCGCAAGCAGATGCGTGCCCGTATTAGGGCATGGTCGGAGTCCAAGCAGGTACTCCAGAATGAGCGACAATCTTCTACCGACCCTCTCCAACGATGACTGATGGCAATATGGTCTATTTGAGTCCATCGTTGGTTTGGTGTAGGGGATCGCCATGTTAGACGATGTCTCTCCTTATGCTTAAAATTACTGTTTGCTAAAAATAAATGATTGTCTGAGCATATTTGCAGCAGACGACCACCATTATCTGTTCGTTATGTCAGAATACTAAAATACCCACCTAAATGTCGGGGAAAGTATCGACAGTACAAAAGAAAACCCTGTTAATTAATATGGAACTTGAAGGAGACACGGCTGCTGAAATCTTAAATGAACGGATTTCAAAGTCACTGAATGAAACTTTCCACACAGCCAAGCTCCGAATTGTTTTCTCAAGCCGGCCTATCATTCCTGGATGTGTTAAAAATAAGCTTTCGCTTTGGGCCACATCAATGTGTATTTATAAATTTACGTGCTCATGCGGGGCTCGTTATAAAGGCCGAACAAAGCGACCACTTTCCAAACGGATCTCAAAACATTGTCCGGCTTGGCTTGTAATAGGAGAATGTAAGACGATCACTGGTTCTATACAGGAGCACTTAATCGATTTCGGACACACCGCTCCCAATTATTCTTCTTTTAAACTGATCTACAGAGTCAAAGGAATTGGACCGAACCAATACTCTATGCATTGCAACTCACGAGCTCAAGCCCAAACTTTGCGTGCAGAAACGACTTGTCCAACCTCTCATCCTTCCTTGGCCTTAATGGGTATGTTTCTGCTTTGTTTTTTCCCCTGCACTTTTATTTGATTACTATCGAATTTCTTAAAATTACTATTTTGCATTTTAAACTCTAATCTATTATTATTACCTTATACAAGTTTTCTTGAGTATTATTCAGTCTATTGTTATGACCTTTGTGTTTGTCGCTTTTCTTCATATTATCTGACCCATTAACGATTTTCTTCCTTACCCCTTGATTAGTACGTAAACTCATTTGTTATTTATTCTCGAATCCATTTTGGCGATGCAAAATTTTTTCTACCCTCCTATAGACATACATTTCCCATATACCTGTATATACGAACGTACAGCTTAAGTCAGTCAGGAACAACGTAGAACTTCGTACGTACGTACATCAGTTCGAGTTGCCACACCACATTAGCACACAGATGTAGTGGTCGATTCAAATCCCGTAGTGGTAGAGGTAATGAGAGTCTAGGCAGTAATCGGGAAAATTAGTCTGGAGATGTTATTTAAAGAGTATAATACAGTGAAGTAAATTCGGGAAGAGAAAAAGAGACCTATAACTGTCGTACTGTAGCAATACTTTGACTTCTAGTATTTAATACGATTTGGTAAGATAATTTTGGCCTTACACCCAAAAGGAAGGAAAATTAACATCTGAAAGTAGGACCTTTAACTTTGTAATCTATTACTGTAAGAGCTAAATAACAGACGTGTTAATTAACGGATGCAAATTAAAAATCTACTAAAACAACTGGCACTTATCATTAAAAAAACAAGGCCAGAAGTAGCAAACTAGTTACCGGTTACAACGAGTGACCTGAACGTACTGACACTTTTTATCAAAACACTTTCAGTGGATCAATATACCGCACACATGCAACTTAGCCAAGGTAATCGAGACAGTCTATGATGTGAGTAATGTAAGCAGTAGACTAGCTGTTAAGCGTGCTGATTAGGGACATTTAAATGAAAAGCAACAAACTTCACGTAAATATTTATATCAACAACGAAAATTAATTTGCTAGTAATCTTCGGAAACTAAATTACATGCTAACTTTACAATTCATTGCTAATTGCAACACTTAAGGAGATGGCTTTTTCGGTAATCTGAAATCGGCATATAGTTCTTTAAATTTGTCGAATCCAGCCAACACACCAGCGCCGGCGACACCTCGGAGTATGTTTGCACCGGCACCCTTCATGAGAGACATTGGTCCTTCATTTTTCAGTATTTCAGATGCACAGTGAATTGAGCTTTTGTATTTGACAGCTTGGCCTAAAGAAAAATAATGTGACAACTACTTATTACTAACCTGAAGTCATCATCATACGCCGACGGATAGTATCAATCGGATAGGATATCAATCCAGAAGTGACAGTCACGCCATAACCGAGGCAGAAACTGATTGCCACACCTGCATCCGGCCCAAGGAATATCGGTTTCAAAGTATCATACAATCCAAAGTAAAATCCTCTGTATACAATTATACCGACGCACGAGATAACGAAGCCACGGTAGAGACCAGCGATACCATCTGACTTGAACGTTTTACTAGGGGAATATATAAGTTGTATGATTCATCTTACGCATAGACATCAACCAAACCATTGAATTCACGAGTCCCACCCTTTTTGGCAGATTTGTTGTCATTGGCCAGACGAGTTCGAGCGTAGTCCAAAGAATAAACGAACACTAAGGACAGAGCACCTGCTGCACCACCACTGACCACGTTTTTGTAGAAAGCAACCAAGTATGGATCATCTTTATTTTGCTGAAACGCTGACTTCACCTTGTCCTTAAATGCAAAGTTCAGAGCTTGGGTAGGGAAGTACCTCAAGCAATTAGGTAAATTTCCACGCCAGAAGGGTAGTATGCCTAAAATAATAGTCATGAAAGACTAGCTAGTACCTTCTTGCCGGAATGTTCGTACAGTACAGTCTATAACACCAGTGTACGGTTTATCTAAGCGCCCTTGCTTGATCATCTCATCTTGATTTTGAACGAGTAGTTTAACTCGCTCTATCGGAGCAGCTGCGGTCTTCGCGATAACTGCAGCAGCACCGCTAAGCAGAAAATTTTCGGCGAAACTCAGTCCTTTAATTTCTTTCCCACCCTCTCCCATAATGACTATAACAAATGTCTCTTGAGGAGATGAGTAGCGACAAAACGACGAACACAGCGGGCCAACACAGCCAAGAGGTTACTAAAACAAAAGTTCCCATATATAAGTCTATGGTTGACCTTGAGTCAAAGCATAAACAGTGGAGTGGAAACTGTCCAGCAGGTCAAATGCCAATTTGCGATTTGAGTGATAGTGATTCTAAGTGGCATTAAGTAGCTTAGTTTTGTTGTTATCTACCTGGTAGGGCACCAACCTTCAGATTCAGATTTGTTTAGTAAGGACAAAAGGTCTATTGCCTATGTTATTCATTTTCTAGTATACTTCTGTGAGTGTCCAGTCTTCTCTTGAAAGAGTCAATTGAAGGTGTGGACACCACTACTTCGGGCAGCAGGTTCCAAGTATTGATAACTCGGTCTGTAAACCTGTATGTCGCGGGTATTTTGTTCGTTCTTGCCTTTTCTACTAGCCCGCTATGTCCTCTGAGATGTTCTGATCTATTGGGAAGAAAAAGAGGGAATTAGGTAGGTCCGAAATCATTTCTCAGTATTCTGTACATCAAAATCAGATCTCCCCTTAGTCTGCGATAGGACAAAGTAAAGAGGTCCAGCTTTTCAAGCCTCTCTTTGTGTGATAAACCCCGGAGTTCCGGAATTGCACGGGTAGCTGCCCTCTGTACTTTTTCTAGTATGTCCGAGTCACCTTTCAGACAGGGGCTTGCTGCCTGAACGCAGTTCTCAAGATTAGTCCTCACTAATGATGTGTATACTGTGGGGAACATGGTAGTGTCTAACTTAGTGAATGTCCGTTTTAAACCCCAGGGGGTTCGAGACCTCCCGGCAATGGACCGTCGTCTTGAAATCATGATTCACTGTCACCCCTAGATCCTTAGGAGACCGATCTACGGGTAATGGCACATCCCCTATGTTGTAACTATTAACCATTGAATCCCCAAAGTGCACGTAGACACACTTTTCCGCGTTGATAGGCATCAGCCACTCCTTAGACCAGTTTATCATGTTAAGTCTGCATGAAGAGCACATGCGTCTTTATCTTCAGTTATTACTCGCCAGATTTTTACATCGTCAGCGTACAATAACATTGGAGACTGTACTATACTTGTAAGATCATTAACGTACATTATAAAAAGTAAAGGACCTAGGACGGAACATTGAGGTACCCCACTAAGTACTGGTCTCCAGATGGAGCACTTGGAACTTATTCTTACTTTCTGTCTACGACCTACTAAGAAATCCTTAATCCATTTTAAAAGAAGTCCGGCAATACCAAGGTTTTTCAACTTTAATAGCAAACTATTAGGTGGGACCTTGTCAAAAACGTTACTGAAATCTACGTAGACAACATTCACTGAGTTTTCGTTGTCTAGCGCATTTATACAGACCTCCCTAGCTATAAGGAGGTTCGTTGTACAAGATAGACCCTTTCTAAAACCATGTTGTTCCATGTTTAGCAATTTATTGGTTTCCATAAATGCCATTATGGTCCGTTTGACTATTATTTCCATTATTTCAACCACAACACTGGTGAGGCTTACAAGTCTGTAATTTGATGGAACTTGTCGTGGACCTGTTTTGTGTATGGAAGTGACAATCGCGTCCTTCCAGTCCATAGGTAGCACTCCTTGATCAAGCGACATGTTGAATATCACAGTCAGTGAGGCCGCGATATATTGTGCAATATGTCTCGATATTTTGGGGTGTAGTTCATCTGGTCCTGTTGACTTTTCCATGTTTAAAGTACTACGAGCCTTAAGCACATCGTCTTGATCGAAGTCCACGGTAAGCAGGTGGTTTGTTGACTGTTTATTTTGGTCTGGTTCTTTCTCTAGAGGTGGTTCCTGAGTGAAAACTGTCCCAAAATAGTCAACCATAGCCTCCGCTTATTCCTGATCTTCCTCTATCATTTCGGATTCACCTCCTATTTTAATCAGGTTGGGAATCCAATAATGCATCCTTGTTCTGTAGCTTATGCACGAGAATATTCTCTTGGGCTGCTTGAGTGCAGATTTTGCCAACTGCATTCCATATTTTCTTTGAGCTTCCCGAAGTTTTGTTATACATTTGTTTCTTACCGATCTGTAGCGTTCTATTGTACCTGTTGTGCCAAGGCGGATAGTGACATCCCAACATTTCTTATTTTGTCTTAGTAAACGTCGAATATCCTGGCCTATCCAGGGATGGCCGTGTTTCTTCTTCTTTGGGACTGTCCAGGGTATGTATGGTTGAGTTACCCGATTGTATAACTGTCTGAATAGAGTCCATGCCTCTTGTACTGATGCCTTAGAACCAATTTCCCAGTTTTCAGCCGATTCTGCGGAGTTGATTGCCTCCATGTATGCCTTCCATATGTTAGGACGGGCCGGCGCAATTGTTTGAGAAGCAATCTCAGCCATGAATTTGAATAAGATGACTGCATGGTCACTTCTCCCTAGTGGTGGGAGGAAAGTCATATGACCAACGTCATCACTGTGTGTGAAGACTAAATCTAAAAGAGAAGAAGAGTTTCTTAAGTCGTATCTTGTGGGATCTCTAATGTGTTGGAATAATGCTAATCCAATCGAGGTGTCTAACAGTTGGCAGTCGAACGACGTTATCAATGACCCTACTTCTAAGTTAACCCAGTTTACATACGGTGCATCAAAGTCGCCTACTACGAGGCTTTTACTCTTGTTACACCAGGACTTAAGTTTACTTAGGAGAAAATCATCTGCTACACATTCTGGACTGCGATATACTACAACTAATTCAATATCATGCCGTCAACATTTCAACTTACATCTCACCAGTTCATATGTCCCTGTGCTACTGTCTCAGCTAATCTTATGGTTACGGTACTTTTCGTGAACAGAATGACCTAACCCCTCCCTACGGTTTAATCTATCAGCCCTACTGGTTAAAAAATCAGTCAACTGAATTTCATTATCTAATATTTCCGAGACAGCAATAACGCCCGGTTTTTCTTTATCAACCACTGAATTGAGCTCCGCCATTTTATTTAGTAGGCTGCGAGCATTTGTGTAGCATACCTTTAAGTCTGTGAAGAACTTTCCCTTACCACCCAGAGTGGCTTTGGGATCGTTTTGCTCCGAACTTTTACAATTTGAAAACCCCTAAGAACGAGGTTTCTTTCACCGTTTTGGTGACGCTCATTTATTTCCATTTCTGCAGCTCGCCTCTTAATACGATCAGCTAGGCTGAGGTCCTCATGGACGAATATTCCGGATCCAATCAGTTTACGTGAATTACCTAGAATCAGGTTCCTTTCTTCAACCGTGGTGAATGTAACCTTCAAGAAGCAGTTTTTCTGAGGACTTTCAGAATCCATCTTTTTTCCTGTTCTATAAAGCTCATAAATAGTAACTCCTGGAACTGTATCTGGGAGTAGTTTACTTATTGAGGATTTAATATGATTGAGATCGTGTTCAAATCTAGCCTTTGGTTCTTTGTCGGAAGACTCTCAACTTATGAAAAATGACTGATCTCTCAGAGAGATCTGTCTAGTCACGCAGTGGAGTTTTTGCTTCTGATACCCTCTCTTCCAATGACTTGCTGACCAGCTGTGTTTTGCCTACAGCTTTTTTCTCATTTTCTTCTTACTGAAGTCCATTTGTCACCACTCAGGACAACCACACTGGAACTATTTGGAACGATGACAGTCTTATCCGGGTCTTCAATTTCGACTAGAGGCGTATGATTGTCGATGTCAGTATCTAGCGGCACTTCACTCCTCGTTAATATTGATGGAGATTTCGCTTTCCCATCAATCACAGTCAGGTGTTTAGTGGGTCCGGTAGCAGCACTTACTACACTGACACATTCTTCACCGTCAGTGCTCGTGTGATCAGCGCTACATTCATTGTTTTTCTTGCAGGCCAAAGCCAATAGGCCCATAGCCTCCTAAATTAGTAACTTTTTATTTATACAGCAGAACATACAAAGCCAATGTGAGTTAGGCTTCGAGCATCTTTCGTATGCCATAGGACTTGGGAGTGTACACAACCTTAGTTCACAAGATAATATTTCTGATTTACGTTTTCGCATTGCAGACAGAACGATTGCGGTATGTGTTATCCATTTGTTGCAAGCTTTAACTGACATCAAATCGTCTTTCAAAAAGAGTCGATTGAATGTCAGGAAGTCGCCCCTTGTAGGTTTCAGTAGCTGATTTCTCGATGAAAAAGCGTTTATATCAAATGGATTATGTTCTTCCATGGCTTTTGGAATAATCTTTTATGTCCTCTTAGTTATCTTCAATCCATTAGGAGAAAGCGAAAGTGTGTATAAGGGTCCAAATCATTTCTTCGTATTCTACACATCATACATAAATTATCTCAGATTCCAGTAAGGTATTTTAACGAGGTTTGACTTCTCAATCCACATTATACGTGGCAAGATACATGAGACCTGAGTTGGGTAGGTAGCTGTCTTTTGTCATTTTCCCAAGGGATTTGGGTCACGTTTCGAATATGGCCTAGCGACACACTCAATTTTCCAACTTGTGCAACGCTAAGGCTGCATAATCCATGGTGGACAAGTATGGATCTAAATTGGTGGAACTCCGTCTTAGTTCATCAACTATACAATCCCATGAATGCAACAGATAGGCAGCGACATTTGGTCAAAGAGCCACGATTTGCTATGGCAACTAGTCCACTATGAGATTGTAAGGGTTAATGTAGTTGTAGTTATCTAGGTAGAACAATTCTATATGTATGCGGAAACTTTGACAACGACCAAAATACGAGTCAATAAAATCAAGGTCAGCACGACGTGCACGTTTTTATAAAGTAATTAACATTTTATAATTTCCCATTATCGAGTGACTGTATTCACTCATGTCTTTCTACAAGATTCATTGTGAAGAATAAGCATTTCCTGAAACCATCTTAACCACCGTTTAACTTTTTATTTATGAATAGCGTCACATATGATGTGACTGTAGTTTTCAATGTTTCGACAAAGCGTATATGTTCCGTTTAGTAC